ACGCCTACAGCGGATGGCTGGGGATTCAGCGCTGCCCGCCCCAGCTGTTTCATGGGCCGGGGCGTTTGGAGCTTTGCCAAGAGACTTGGACTTAGAGAACAGAATGCTCAAATGTATATCTGATCTTGTTTGAATGTAGTATCCGAATTTTGCTTTGCGATGTTATATTGCATGCTTTGTACTTTCCAAGCAAGAGACATGCAAACACATTGAGGTCCCCGGAAGGTCTTCGAGGGCTTTATCGTGGTTTTACAATTGCTTCATATTTGCTTTTCAACGTTTCGGTAGTGCGGTATTTTCTTGTCGTTTTGGGGGATCATGCCATTCTATGCTGCTCGTCGGACTCAGGAGATGGATGTCAAATCGTGGTGGATGCCATGAACGTGGCCAACTATTTCGGCGCACAGGGGGATACTGCCGTCCTTCCTCTTCTTTTGCAAGAGTTGTCTGCCCGCGTGCCAGCCGCCCGGATAGTCCTGGTCTTCCCCATTTCTGAGGCTCAAAGACTAGACACGCGCAGCCTGAGGGAGCGCTTCAGGAACTCGAGCCTTTGCTGCTGCCCAAACGGCATGCACGACGACGTCTTGGCATTGCAAGAGGCAGCAGCGCCAGGGGCAAGGAGTTGTATACTATCCAATGACCGATTTCAGGATCACATCGATCAAGGAGATGTTTCCAGTGAGTGGGTTTCCAAATTCCGGGTGGCGTTTGAGGTGCGCGGAAATGAAATCACCTTCCGCCCGCCGCTGCCCTGGACAGACCTTGCTGCCTTTGTTGCGGCGTTGCCGCTGCAAGGGCAGGCATTGGCTTCCGCAAGTGCACCTGAAGAAGCCTTGCCGCAAGCAGCGCGTGCGGCGGAGGCAAATCCAGGAGTGACAGTTGAAACGACAAGCCCGGCACGGAGTTTACAGAACCGTAATCAACTACGCCCAACTCAGCATTGATCTTCAGTTATGTGACGTTTTGAAAACCGCGGGTGAAATAGATTGACAAGGTTGACGTGAAAGTGCCCATCTATGAATACCTTGGTGCAAATTTGCTAATGAACATCTAGACACATGCCCATCTCCAGGAGACGTCGACGCCGTAGAGGCGGAAATGCTGCGTTTGGCCCTTCAAGACTCTTGACATTGATCTTAAAGGATTAGGGTCGGAGTCTCTCTACAGGGCACAAAGGGACCACTGTTTGTTTCGGATTGTTGAAGAGTTATTCAGCACCCTCTTCCGGGCTTTCACTACCCATGTTATGAGATTCTAAGGAGAGCGAATGGGCCATGGAGGACGCCGATCTGGATTGGGCTGTGGCTGCTAGTTTGCAGGAGGCGGATGTTGTGGAGGAAAACATGTGGCGCTTCGCAATGGAAGACGCTTGGCGTTTGCCACGTGGAGATTGTTCTGCAATAGTTCATACCATTCGGGTATGGATGTATAATATAAATATAGATATAAATATAAGTAGATATATGTATGTATTGTACATATTTATGTATATGTATGCTTGGACGAATGCCCTTCTGCATAAACACCCCCCCTCGATATGCGGGACAGAGTGCGCGACAAAGTCCGGGACAAAGTTTTCGGAAAAAGTGCGGGACAAACTGCTGGACAAATCGTTGTCCGGCAAGTTGTCGTTGTCCGGAGGGTTGTCCGCGCACTTTGCCGAGATTTATGCTGCAAACCCCCCTCCCGCGAGAATACTTCCCTCCGAGTGATTCCCGAGTGGTTTCCGAGAGGGCCTTTCCCCCCCTGAGATCTTCTCCATTTTGCTCCCTAAAATCTGTTCCTCCCCTTTCCCTGTCCAGATCCTTTCCCCTAATGCCTTTCCCCCCCAAGGTCTTCTCCCTTCTCCTCCCAAAGATCTTTTCCCCGGCCTTTCCCCCCTCTCGAGATCTTCTCCCTTTTCCTCGCTAAGATCTTTTCCCCCGTTTCCCTGTTGAGATCCTTTCCCCCTTTCCCCCCTAGACCTTTCCCCCCCTGAGATCTTCTCCCTTTTGCTCCCTAAAATATTTTCCCCCCCCTTCCCTGTCGACCCCTTTCTCTGTTGAGATCCTGTTCCCCCTTTCCCCTCTGGGAGGAAAAGGGAGAAGATCTCAGGGGGAAAGGGAGCAAAAGGATCTCAGGGGGGAAAGGCCTTTGGGGGGAAAGGGGGGAAAGGATCTCAACACGCAAGGGGGAAAAAATCTTAGGGAGGAAAAGGGAAAAGATCTCAGGAAAACAAGCCTTAGGGTGGAAAGGGGGGCAAGGATCTCAAGAGGGAAGGGGGGGGGGGGAAAAGATCTTGGGGAGGAACTCGCGAGAAGATGTCAGGGGGGGAAAGGCCTTAGGGGGGAAAGGGGGAAAGGATCTCAACAGGGAAAGGGGGGAAAGATCTTAGGGAGGAAAAGGGAGAAGACCTTGGGGGGAAAAGACCTTAGGGGGGAAAGGGGGGAACAGGGAAAGGGGGGAAAAGATCTCAGCGAGGAAAATGGGGAAGATCTGGGGGGGGAAAGGCCTTGAAGATCTTTTCCCCCCTTTCCCTGTTGAGATCCAGTCCCCCCCTTTCCCCCCTAAGGCCTTTCCCCCCCCTCGAGATCTTCTCCCTTTTCCTCGCTAAGATCTTTTCCCCCGTTTCCCTGTTGAGATCCTTTCCCCCCTTTCCCTCCTTTCCCCCCTAAGGTCTTTTCTTCTCCCTTTTCCTCCCTAAGATCTTTTCCCCTCTCCCGGTGAGATCCTATCCCCCCTTTCCCCCCTAAGGCCTTTCCCCCCCTGAGATCTTCTCCCTTTTGCTCCCTAAAATATTTTCCTCCCCCTTCCCTGTCAAGATCCTTTGCCCCCCAAGGCCTTTCCCCCCCCCCCCCCCCAAGATCTTCTCGCTTCTCCTCAAGATCTTCCCCCCCCCCTTCCCTGTCCAGATCCTTCCCCCCCTTTCCCCCCTAAGGCTTTTTTTCTCCTGAGATCTTTTCCCTTTTCCTCCCTAAGATCTTTTCCCCCCTTCCCTGTTGAGATCCTTTCCCCCCTTTCCCCCCTAAGGCCTTCCCCCCCCTGCGATCTTCTCCCTTTTCCTCCCTAAGATCTTTTCCCCCCTTCCCTGTTGAGATCCTTTCCCCCCTTTCCCCCCTGAGGCCTTTCCCCCCCTGAGATCTTCTCCCTTTTGCTCCCTAAAATGTGTTCCTCCCCTTTCCTTGTTGAGATCCTTTCCCCCCTTTCCCCCCTAAGGCCTTTCCCCCCCTGAGATCTTCTCGCTTTTCCTCCCTAAGATCTTTTCCCCCCCCCTTCCCGGTTGAGATCCTTTCCCCCGCTTTCCCCCCTAAGGCCTTTTCAGATCTTCTCCCTTTTCCTCCCGAAGATCTGTTCCCCTCTTTTTTTGTGTTGAGATCCTTTCCCCCTTTCCCCCGGCCCTTCCCCCCCCCTCAGATCTTCTCCCTTTTCCTCGCGAAGATCTTAAGGCCCTTTGTCCCCTCAGACCTCTCCGACGATCTTCTCCCCAGTTCCCCCCTTAAAATCTGTTTCCCCCCTTTCCCCCGAAGATCTTTTCCTTCACTTTCCTTCACTTTCCTTCACTTCGGCTCATGTCCCTGTATGTCTGTTTTTGTTCCTTTTCTTTCACTTCATGCCATTCATTTCCATGCGGTTTCCCCGGCAACATCATCCCCAGCAATACTTGCATCATCCGCATCATTGGCAGGCGCTGATGCGGATGATGCAGGGGATGCTGGCGATGTTGTCCAGGAGATGCTAAGGATGCAAAAACGGACCCCCCCAATGTTTTTACGCAACTGTGTCCCAGAGGAAAGGATTTAGAAGACGTCTTGGAATCACCGCCCCCAACCGTGCCCTGGGGAGGGGTAAGGGGAGGGGTAACACGTAAAGAAGTAAGGAGCATTTCTTATGTCCAACACGCCGCCTGTTGTCGGGGGATATCTACATATTAATATATTTTGTTATGTATGTCTGGATTTTTTAATTTGCTTAGTTATTTGTATACCAGCCAACTGTAGCTGGAACACGCATGCTTCAAGTGCTTCCCACCAATCAGTCTGCAAATGTGGCAATTGCGGGGGTATTTGTCCCCCGTAACATTTTGAAAGAACCGGATGCGTCGAAGGGCTCTTTCTCCAGTTCTTAACAACACTGCCTCGCCTTGCTGCTCTAACTGGAAGGCCAAACATATCCGTTTTTGAAAGTTTGAATGATGGATTGTGAGGACTTCAGACCCGCCTTGCCAGAGGAGGAGCCTGATTTGGCCTGGGCAATTGCTGCCAGTTGGGCAGAGCGCGGTGTTGCTATGGGCAACTGAAAGCTGCCCTGTCTTCAGCTGATGGCCGTGGAAGATCCGCTGATTTGCTAATTCCCTCCCTGTGAGAAAGACATCCGTGTCTCAGTCTGTCGGCCTTGACTTGCAAAGACCAACCGTTGGTTGATGGTAGATGTCAAGTATTGTTTGGTCTAAGTGTTTGCTTGTCTTGTGAAGGCCCGTGTGACAAGCCGACCCAAGGTTAAGCACGCGGTGCGCGTGTGGAAGTGTTTAATCTTATTTTTGAGGCAAACGCGTCCTTGGCAAGCAACGCCAATCAGCAGACGCCATTGCGCAGAAAACGGGTGTGGACCGGAGATAGAGGCCGAGCTTGATGACAGACATGCAGGTGTGTCTTGCGCAATGGCGACATCTCCTAGCGGATATTTGTTTGCGGCGTGTATTCAGTTTTTGGTGAAATGTGTTCAATTGGTTTCGGGCAGCCAAGACGCCAAAGAGAGTTTAACCCGGCAAGGGGAGAAGAACCTTTTCCCTCACCTCACTGGGCTCCTGGATTTGATATATAGTTTTGAGGTCCTGGTGGTATAAGCAAATTGGATTTGCTCTGACCACTCCACTCACTTCCATTTTCTTATGCATATGTTGATCTTCCCTTGTTGGTTTTACACGGGACCTGACACTGGACATAAGCAAAAGGTTTTTCCAGGCGGCTTAAGCAAATGGAAGCTCTGGAAGTGCCCACTTTCCCGGCAAAAACATCAGCCAGGCCTCCAAGCTGGCAGAGGAGGCCGCCGAGGCCGGGTGGCTTTCAGATCCCATTCTACATAATTTGGCAGGCTACAAGAGCAAACAATCTTCCCTTCCATGGCCAGCTGGCTAGTGTAGAGAGGAACAGAAGCCCGATTGCCCAAGTTTAATGAAACTGGACCGCTGCCCTACTAGGTTGGGCTTTGTGCTCCAATCAGTTTGCGACGCAGCCTCCCTTTAGAAGCCATTCAAAGAAAGGGTTCAACTCATGTTCATTTAACTTTTAGGGGTTTCAGAAATGTAGTTGATGGTGTGAACTTTAAACAAAGAACATGTTTGGCGTTAAACTTCAATTGTTGACGGTTAGTAACTCGTTTTAGTTCTACTATTGTGAGTACGAAGCTTCAGTACGCGGACAGGTTCACCCATGAAGGTCCCCTTACTTGCGGATTCCTGTTGACCCAAGGGTATGCGTCAAAATCGGAAACCGCCCGAAAATGGAGGGTTTCCTTTTGGTTGCCTTTTTTAACCACCCCAAAAAGGATAACCTCAAAGAACCTACACACACATGTCGACTCACCAAGGTCAACCTGTTCGGCTTTGATTAAACATGATGGCCAGGGCTTCCGTTTTCTCTACACCCGAACTTGTTTGTTGCATTTTGTTGCCCATAAAACAGCCTTTTCTTACGAACCTTTCAAATGTCCATCTCGTATAATCAGCGTCCCTTAGCTTTGGGCCAAGAAAAGGTTACCCTCAAAGTGCGCGATGTCCCCTTGGTTCCCTGCTCAAGCCCAACAAGGGTAACACAAGGAACTGAATGAATCTTATAACAATTACGCCTCGAATTGTCCCATGCCTTAACTTGGTCTTGTACCCCAAAGCCCCCTGCTAATCTAGATATTTTCCTTAGATTTCCCTCTCCTCCCGTGTCTCAGGCGAAGGCTCAGCGTTTGGCTGCGGCCAGGGCCCGCGAGGACGCCCGGCGCAACGCGCGCAAGGCGGCGGAGAAGGCCGCGGAGGCGCGGGCGGGCGGTGTCCGCTTTGAGCAACGATGGCACCAAGTCGCTTTTTTTTTAGGTCCACAAATCGACGTTTTGTAGCTTCTGGCAAAACCTGAAAGGGTTTCTGCATGGGTGTCTTTTGTAAGGGAAGATGTTTTTGTTCTAGGGGAATCTCTATACTGTCAGAGAACCTTTTGATGGTTTGGAGTGGTTTTTGGATTGGGTTTGAAGCTATGAATCGGCAGTCTTTTCTTGGTTCACTCGCACAACATGCCCTGCAAACCATGGTTGAGGTGCTTGCCTTGAGAAGCCTTATCATAATATCCGGTACTCCTTTTCATTCGTGGGGATTTGAACACCTGAGTCTTCGTAGAGGGAAAACCACCCCGAACCACGAAACCACCCTCTCATATGACTTGAAGGATCCCAACCCCCCCTTTCCCCCCCCCCCCCCCAACGATACCCCAAAGGGCTCATTAGCGAAATACGTGGGCACATGATTGTTTCAGGGTACCCCCTTTTTTGCTTTAAAGGCAAGCCAAAAAGGGAAACCTCGCCCATTTTCAGGGTCTGTTATTTTGAGACACGCACACATGGACTTCCGGAGGTTGTCCAGTCTCCTTTTTTGAACCCAGGCTTGACCAGCCCTTTTTGCCCAGTCCTTTTTGATCAAACCATTGTTGACCAGGTTCATGGACCTAGTTTTCCTGTTCGACAAGAAACTCACTTGTCTAGAGCAAATTGAACTGAAATGATGTTTTGGTTTCCTTTTTTGGTCCATGTTGAGGGTCCCAAAAGGTTGACCTTTCATTTTTGAGTCCGAACCGGCCTGAGGGAAAGATGACGTCCAAGTCCTCCTCCAGTAGTATTCAAGGGTCCAAAACGAACCATGCGAACCTTACATTTTGGGGGTTTAGTGGTTTCCACTTCACCCACTAAAAGTAAAGCTTTTAGCAGGGGATCAGTTTGGACAGCCCAGAAACCTGTTTGCTGGAGTGAGCACGAGCGCGGAACGCCTCCACCGCACTCCACCCTTTTCGGGGGAAACTGATACAATGAGGGCTGGGTAGCAGGCTTGTTCATATTTAGGGGCCAAGAACATGATTCGTTGTCACAGCTTTCATCTGTGTTCGAAGCCGGCACCCTGAGGAGGCTGCAATGCTAAAGGCCCGGTTGCAGGCCAAGGAGCCCCTTGCCAGAGAGATGCGTCCAAGCATGGGCGGGTGGGTGGGTAGGTGGGTGGGTGCTTCCCTTAAAATGGTTAGTTTTCTTTTGGTTTCCCTTTAGCCAACCAAAACGAGTCCACCGTTTTGAGAAACGCTGCGTTTACTCACTCGCCAGGTTGTCCATTGTAACATGAGCCACCTTTTGGCGGGGTGATGGTGGGCATGCAAGAAGCTCACTTGCCCAGATCCTCGTGTTGGGAAGACAAAACCTTGGTGACAAACAACACATTTATGTGGTTTTGGCCAACTTCAGAAGTCAGTTTATTGGTTCATTGACTCATTGTGAACACAGGTCGTACCCCAATGTGTTGCCCAAACCATGGCGGCCCAACTGGCAGTTGCTTCCCTGGAAATCGTTGTTTGTCTTTCATTTGCTTGTTATGTGTTATCTTCCACTGTTAATTTGATGGGAATCTACCACTACAGTGTCTTGTTGTTCCATGTGATTTAACAGCCGTTTGCTCAATACGGATCATGGACCGACATCCTGCACCAGCTAGGATAGATGAAACCCTGCAAAGAATGGGATAAACCACCTATCAACTGGTGCAGGCTGTTGTCCATCCACAGTATGTGTTATTTCCCCCTGTTGGTGTTAGAGAGAATCTATCACTACTGGGTTGTTATTTTGTCCACGGGACGTAAGAGCAAATGGAAGTTAGCTGCCTCACCCCAATTTGGGTTTTGTTGAACCGATGTTTCCCTCCTTAAACTTCCTCCCGAGAAACTCTTGCTCTGCCCCAGGAGTATCTTGGCCTTGGCACAAACCCAGCACTACACTGTGGGTGGACGAAATCCAATTCGCATCACTTTGAAACCATGGTTGAAACCGTTGTTTGTTGGTATTTACACTGAATCATCATTCCGGGCGTTCTTTGGTGGCGCAGGATTTCGTCCATCCACGGTAGCTGCCCTTTTGAGGTTAGTTTGGTGAGAATAGATGGCACTGGTTTAGATGGGTTTTATTCCTTTACCAGGGCCGTCTATTTTTCCTGTGCGAACAACGTTTCTCCCCCACCCATTCGGTCGAAGAAGGGCAATTTTTGCCTCGGATAATCCGATTAATACCCCCAACATCCCCTGGGATCGACCACCATAGCTGGCGCTGGGGAAGTTGAAACACTCAATCTCCCAAGAGGACAAGAGATTCATTACTCTGGCCATGACTTACAATGTTCAAATTCACTGTCAAAATACTGCACTCAGTTAATCCTACCTGAACAATATCCCCCCAGTTCCCTCAGTCCCCTCAGTCCAAGGGTTGTTCCCCAACAGTGGCCCTGTTCAGTGAACATGGTCCCAAAAATGAGTGACTCAGTCTTCCTTTTTGTTTGCCTGGCGGGCTGCCCTCCCATCCAGAAGGAGCCTCACAAGGTGTCCTGGTTTGGACCATTTTCCTTTACAAGGGACCTGTGGGTTCCAACCACGTCTCAGTTCTTCAAACCCGACCTTCTAACCTCTTGCTATTCTTTTTTGTCGCTTTGGGCAAAGGCCTAAAGGCGATCGCCGGATTTTGCGGCCCAAAACGGGCAGATGTCGGATGCCGGGCTGTCGTTTCGGGCGCTTCGGGCGCCGAGGCTGGCTGAGGTGGAGGCCCAGCGCCAGGCCCAGGCGCAGGCGGAGGAAGCCGCCAGCGCCGACGCCAAGCGCCGGGCGGAGGCGAAGCTCCGCGGGTTGTGGGAAGGAAAGACGGCGTCCAAGGGCGAAATTCCTGAGAGCTCTCTCTCCAAAATAAAAATCCAAGAAGGAACCCTGAAGAGCCCATTTTTCCATCTTGTTTTGAGGGTACCCCAGTTTTTGTTGGGCCATAAAGGAAAGACCACAGTTTTATGTTTATGTTATTTATTGTTTTTTTTTTGGGGGGCCATAGGTTTGTCTCAAGGGGCACCCACCACAAAACGAACATGGAACCTCCACAATCCCCGTAAAAGGAAAGTGGGTCCCAAACATGCGCGGGTTCCTGTTGCCACTCCAAAGGACCGAGCCTCAACAAAAAGACAAACGTAATTGGCTGTGTCTTTTTTGATATGGGTAGACCATTTCAATACCAGGTTTTGATTGTCACACTGGGCGGGTCGTTTTGGAGGGTGCCCTTTTTGGATGGATTGAAGGTGAAACCAAAAGGAAGCCAACCGAAGGGGTCACCCAGTTGGACATCTAGTTGGAACCAACCCTTGGGCGTGTTGAGTAGGAAGCAACTGGGGAAACCACGAGTTGGGGGTGTTCTATTTTTGAAACATGGCCATTTGTTTTTGTAAGTAGTCTCCTCAAGCAGTTGGTTTCCTGTTGAACTCGCGTCAAATATATTTAGATATATAGGCGGGGTTTGCTCCAAAATTATGTTTCATGTGTAAAAGGTTGACCTTGTATTCACGGCCCCTTTAATTGGAAGTCACTTTTTTGTATTTTGAGACACACCCATTTGACCAAAATGGTGTCATTTTGAGGTTGGCTAAATATGGAAGGCAATTTGAAAGTATTTGTGTACACGGAGCTTAAATGGGGGTACGCACGCGCAACCTAGCATGGAACCCACGAAAAGGTCCCACGAGGAAAATGCCAGGCATGTTTCTGATTCAGGATGGACGTACACCAGGGGTTACACTTCTTGGGAAATCAACAACCCCTGGGTTGAAGTCTATCTTGGAGCAGCATAATAGCCGAAGTCATTACTATTACTCCAATCTGTGTGACTACTTGTAGATTTAAGGTACCCCTTCCCCCCCATTGTAGTTATTCAGCCTCGTGTATTAGTTCTCAGGCGGGATTGCTCCGAGCCTTCAAACGACGGACCATGAACCCCAAAGATAGGACGTTCGCTTTTTGTTGGGTTCCCCTCTGCGTGCACTTCGGATGAATCTGGAGGACCCTACTAGTCAGAGGATCCCCGTAATTACGTCCTCTGGATTAATTAATCCGAAGTCGTGGCACCTGGAGGGTTGCCTGGAAGATTGGCTTCCTCTTGAAGGGACATGTCAGGTCTGTGGACGAAATCCACTTCGCACCACTTCGGATAGATGAAGCCCTATAGATAAAGGTTGAGTCTCCAAGTACCAGCAGGTGGATTTGGTCCATCCACAGTACTTGGTGGTTCCGGTTCCTTAGCTTTAGAGTTGGTTTAGTGCTTGGATTTGTCCGCAAAACCCACAAGTGTTCGACTTTCAGCAGAGGAAACTGATCTGAGAACAGCGCAGAGTGTCAGCAAGGCGGGTCTGACCCCCCCTCACACAAAGGAAACAACATGAACAGGACACAACAATTAGTGATGTTCCCGTGGCTGCCTTTTTACAACCCCGCCCCCGACGGTAGGCGGCGGCCTCCAAGATGGCTCGCGCGGAAGCGCAGGTGGAGGCCGAGAGCCTGGCGCGGATCCAAGCCCAGCGGGAGGCGGAGGACGCCGTTGGGAACTGGTCCGAAGGTTGGGATCTCTGTTTGAAGCCAAAAGGGCTGACCACCCCTGATGGACAGACTCCATTTGGCAGTTAGGATGGATAAAGCGAAACAAATATTGGGATAAGCTGCCCACCAACCTGACAGCGCGGGTCCCCTCAAAAAGAAAATGGTCCAAACCAAGACCCCCCTAAAGGTCAGGTTCCATGTTAATTGGTGGGAAGGTATCCCTTTTAGGTTTGGTGAGAGAAATAGACCACTGGAAACCCCCGTTCAAAAATCATGGAAAGTTGATTCCCCTGTAATTTGGCGGTTCCCAGCCACCCCTTAGGTGTTTAGTCAGGGTTTGCAGGATTTCCCCCTTCAATCAACAAACTCCAAAAAAGGATCAATGCATGGGCTGGTTTTTTTAGGGGACGCCCCAAATTGGTGCTTTTCCGTTTGTTTTCCCTACAAGCAGACCAACAAGGGGTTCTCTCAAAGAAAAGGAACGGTAAGGATTGTTGGTGGTTCCCAGCCGTCCGATTCCTTAGGTGTTTAGTTTTTTTAGTTGGTTTAGTGGTTTGGTGTCCATTTAACCCACAAGTTAAACTGTTATCAGGGCATCTGAGGACTGCCCACAGAAGTAAATACTGTCGTGTTCTTTCCAACTTGTTTGTAGTTTATAGTGTTTACGACTTGTTGTCGTTTTTTTTTTTGTGAGAATTAATCGTTTGACTTGTTTATAGTTTCCAACTTGTTGTATTGGGACCCAATTGCAACTTCTGATCTGGGGTCCGGCCGCTTCGGGATTCCCAGGAGGCTGCGCAAGAGGGCGCCGAGATTATGACGAGACTCGGACTCGGAAGAAGTTGGAGCCCTGAGTGCGGGCAGATGCCTCGCATCCTTTTGACAATGTGGAAACTGGGTCTCTGTCAAAATAGGGAGATGCTTTTCCCACTAAGGTTCTTAGCCACAAGCTCAAATCTTTACACCCTTAAGTTGTGTAACTTCGAGCTCAAGCTGATGCGACATGGACACATTCAAGTTTGGGGTTGCCTGTCCGTCACAGACTGCTGATTTTCCCGCTTTGGTGCAATCTTGCTCAGTCCGAGGTGAGTCGGAGCTTTTTATTTCTCCTTTGGCCCGAAAGGTCGAGCCCAATGTCTGAGGTCTCGTGGTTTGGAGATTTGAACCCTCTGTTTGTCCTTGAATCTTAAAGGGCAAGATAACCCTCTAACCTCTAAACCGGTATTCCAAAGCTAGAATACTATTTGCATGTTGGAGGTGACCAACAGCGTTTTGGTTTGATTTGCAACATTGTTTCTGAAATAGGGGCTGGGGGACCCACCAAGCAAAGTGGAAAAAGAGTTTGTACCAGAAACAGGAGTGACGACACCCTTGTAGCTGGGGGGGCTTATTGACAAATTGGGTGTGAATTTGAATGCGGAACGCGTGGAGGTGGACATCATTCACATGGGAAGTTGTGACCGCCAACCATACTTGACGGATAAGCATCCCAATCAACTATCTGCAAATCTAAGCCCCTTTCCCCTAGCGGACCCATTCCTATGGATTCCCTTCTTGCCTTGATAGGATCTGAGAGTTTGTGTAGAACAACTACAACCCTCACAAAGTAAGCCCTTTCGTTTCGGTGAGGGCGAGGGGCTTCCAGCAAGGTCCCTGGTTATAAACATAGCTTCGATCCGCTGTCCTAGCGGCACCAAAATGGAATACCCCTTTTCGGGCCATTTAAAACCACCAGTGACTGAAAATCATGATGGGTGAAGAGCGGAGATTCATTTTTAGAATCATGGCCGCACATGTGGGAAGACCCTCTGCCAAGGACCTATGGTTGAAGTGGAGGTGCCCCAAACATATCCACCATCATATTCCTGATGGTTGCCTTACACAAAAACAAGAAGCACCCAAATATGTTGGGGATGTGCAATGGTTGTTTTCGCATGTCTTGGGGGCGCATCGGGTACATGACCCAGTTATTGACTCTCCATGCGTGGGTTCAACAACTGCTTCAGCATGTTAGGATGAAGGACTTTGGTGAGCCGATTCGTGCAACAAAAATGTAGGAAGATCCCTCGTCATGAACTTTGTATGACAAGCTGGTGCTTTTCGCTCGTTTCTTGGGCTGCTACTTCTGGATTCCAACATTGACAGGCTTGATGATAGAAAATAGGTTCGGCGTCCTTTGGTTTCCGCTTTCCGTTGGTTTCCGTTTTTTGCCCTTTGGTTTCCCCAGCCCTCATGAGAGGCCAGGACCATGCTGGGAAGAGGGAATCCGAGCGGCACCCTGGAATTCATAAGTCCGTCTACGATCCGACTCTCCTTTTGTGAAATCTACAACATGTGTGTCCTGTTTTGAGGCTTGGCGTGCGTTATTGCAAAGGGAAAGCAATAGGACATTCAATAGGAAGCCACCAGTGCTTCGGGCCCCACTTCACCCCCTTGCGAGAGCACAGGTGGGGCGTGTCGTTTTGATCGTACCTTTTTTAAGTTGGTTTTTCCGGGAACCCCAAACGAAGGCCGAAATCCGCTTAGGAAGATGTCGATGCCGGGGGGCGCACTGGGTGACGAAGAGTTGGAGCCGCTGGTGGCTCGGCACAAGTTGTCTCATCCCCGAAAAAGAAAAGTGCAAGGGTTCCTCCATTCCCATTTTGGAAGTGCAGTTTCAATGGAAACCACCTGTAAGTTGCGACTTGTGAAGGGGAAATCCGGAGACCCTGCGGTGGTCGTTTCTCGTGATGGCCAAAGGCAAACCGCCATTTTTGGGTGTCGACGCCCCCCTACTGATCCTATTCCCTGTAGAACAGGTAATCAATGGAACCACATGTTCACAGCTAAGAAGCAACTGGCAGGTTGCCTGCTATTTCGGGAACTGGGGCCAACTCGTTCCTGGACTGTATACTGTTACAAAGATCGTGCAAGTGGCAAACAGCAAGGTTTACTTCCTTTAAGGCTGCTCCTTTCTTTACAGCTGACAATGTGGGGACATGTTGCAGCTGGCATGCTGCAACTCAAGTGGGTGTGAATCTTACTTCGGGACCCTTCGGTGGACATCATTTTGGGGGTTTACGTTCACCAGCCACTTGAGGTGGCTCCCTAGAAAAATTCAAGCCAAGTGACCATTTGGGGATTTATTAACGGTCCCATAGAGTCTTCGCCTTCAGGGTTGAGGGGCCATAAAACGTCAAGCCAAGAACACACTAGTTCCTGGACTTCAGTCATTTGGGTTTGGACCATAGCGGCCAACGAAAAAAGTGTGGTCACTTTGTTTATTGCCATCCACTCACACCGCTTCAAAGCGGAGCTTGCCCATAGGCCATAGGCTTCCTGCCTTTCAAAGGGGGGTTCCATCACTTTGGCAAAAAAACATGGACCCTTTCGCTTGGTGGGCAAACCAAGAAAAAGTCACTTGGGTCGAATCGAGTGGCCCATAAGCGAAACAGGTTGAACGTCCACCTGGCAGGGGCACGACAGCACTCAACCCAAGGAGCGCCCCCCTTTGTTTCCACACATGGAAATACTGAATTGTACCCCGTCCAAATCTCGTATATGTTAAAGTGGGCGTTGAGGAACCCTCCAAAAAGCGCCTTGGATTGAAAGCTCGAAGACACGGTGGTGCGAAATGGATGTTGTCCATCCGTTTTGTTTTACCTAGTTAGGATAGTAATAAGCAAGATTTTACAAAAGGCGAATCGTGACCTTACAAACGGCTCCGGTGCCTTGTTTGAAGGTTCATCAAGATAGGTTGCTTTGCCCTGATGCCTCTCAAACATCGGGTCCTTGCGCCCTTGAAATTGGCGGTCGCTGAGCTACCTTGCTGTCCACGCACGAAATCCCAAGCCATTTTGCAGGTGGTTTATCAAACAATTATTTGCAGTGTTATCATCTATCCGAAGTGTTGCAGGTGTTTGTCCACTCACAGTATATAGGTGAAAGGACACCTTGGCTTTTTGGAGGGACCCCTGGTTTTGGTTTCTCTAAAAGCCCACAGCTGCAAATGATGTTGGATGTTCGGCTTCAAGCCATCCGGTTCTGAGGTTGGGGAGGGGCATACAAGCCAAGCATCTGCAGAACCGGGGGACTTCAACTCGCCCAAACAAGCTGGGACCTCTGTGTGGATGTTTCTATTGGGGGGGGGGGGTCGACCGGAAACCAGGCATTTTAGGGGTCCACCTTTGACACATACCTACAATGAACCGAAACAAATTGGGCACGCACAAATGGTCTTTGCTGGAGGTAATTTGTGTTATGCTCCCCTGTTGGTTTTAAAGGTAATCTATCACTACTGGAGATATGTGTTCATTTTCCCCAGGGGACGAAAAGCAATTAAGGTAAGGTACAAGGTGTGTAGTTGAGAGACCCGAAGCGGGTTCCTTTGGGTTTTGTGTCAGGAGTCTTAGGCCCCCCCCCTTGGACCACCCCCTCCGAAGCCGAAAGGAGCCGGAGAAGCCGAAGCCGATGCTCCGCAAGCAGGGCTGAGAGATCGAGTGCTCGCTTCGAGCCGCTTCCAACGGCGAATCCAAAAAAGTCGCGGCTGTGTTTCTGGCGCGGACAGCCTGTCCGACAGGTGGCATCAGGCTTTTGCGTGCTTCTGTTTGTTGAGTTGGCACCAAAAACAAACGTGGACCTGACAGAAAGTCGCTTAGTGTCTTTTGAGGTTGCCTTTTGTCGGGCGGGACTTACGGATGATGCAAAAAGCAAACTATCTCAAGGCAGTTTATTCTTTCGTGGCAATCAGTTCCAACATGCCTGGGTAGCAAAGCGGCCCATTCTTCACATGGAAAATGGATCTTCTTGAGTTTGTCGCCTTCTAATTAAGACATTGTCTTGAGGGGAAATCACGGGGACATGGGCCTCCCTTGTCTGGTCCTCAGGTCAAAGGTGAAACCATGTGGAACCTTTTGAGCCTCGATTTAAAAACCGACCAACCTTTCGGTTTTCCCTTGGTCCGTATTCAGTCATGGCCCCCAATGGTGGTCACCTTGTATTTCCACGTCCGAACTGGGCAACTGAGACCTTGATCAAACATTACAAATAACATCTAGAACGCACTCTGGAAAACAAAAAGGATCCCTTGCGAAAGAAAGTTGCGAATAGCCTTTGCATCATAAATTATGGTCGCAAATGAATTATGTGCGTCACGTGCAGTGTTTCTGACAGTCCACTGTCGTTTCGGGGAATAGCAAAATTCCAGACATATTCCTGGCATGATAGCTGGTCGAAGTGGGACCCCTTTGAATGGCAGCCCGCCATGACACCAATATTTGTCAGTTGGTAGGTTGTTTATCCCATTATTTACAGGCCTTCATTCATGCCGACTGGTGCGTTTTGTGGATTTTCTCCATCAGCAGTGTTTCTGGCACCACCTTCCATTTTCCTCGTAATTGTTACATGTGTGGATTGTGCGTTTTCCACAAGCTCCCGCTTGAGGTAAGGGCACCAGCAAAGCGTTCGTAACTTTTCTCCTCATGTACACTTGACGTATGTGACATCCACTAATGCATCGGCGGGTCCACATATGTAGGGGGCCTCTTGTACAAATATCCTTACCTTGGCTTGAAAATCAAGAAAAACCACGGGAGGCCCTCATGTTTCCAGTTCGTCGTGTTACCATGAGCTAGTGAATACTGTTGATGTGAAGGTGACAGGGGTGAATGAGGCTTGGTCAAACTTTGCGGTCTATGGCCGGGGGGCAGCTCACCAAACTGTAAAACCAGGGGGCAGGCCCGAATTGTCAAATGTCCTGCTGGGGAACGTTCGTAATTTTGGCCATTGCCCATATTTGGTCTCTTAAACGGAACCTAAAGGCACACGCGTCCAACCCCGGACACCCCATAGTTAGGTGTGTGTGTGTGTGTGCGGAGTGACAGAATGCCCTGTCACCACCCTTTCGGTTTCGCAGCAGGGGCGTGTGGCACTCTCATCCTACCACACGCAATGAAGCTGTGGGTGAGAGTGGGAAGCAAGGCCTGATCAGCCTTGTGTACCTGCACCTTTTGAGTGATTCTGAAAGTCTTTTTGGCCCTCTTCTTTGCCGCTGTGTGTGCTTCATGTTGAACCCTGTAACGGTTTCGTCTCTAGAGGGATATCACGTGACGGCAAGCCGAACTTTCTTTTACTCGAGACTCATCGGTTGTACTCGAGACTCATCAGTTGTACTCGAAACTCATCAGTTGTACTCGAAAGATTAGCACTCTCCATCTGGAGTTCAAGTGTGTACACCCCATTCGTGGGGAATCCTCGGGTGTACCCATTGTGTGACCCCGGGCCGGCTCTGTCGGAAAATTTGACCTCAACGTGCGTATCATAGAACAGCGGAATTTCACATTTAACCAGGAACGAGGTTTCACTAAAGGGAAGAAAGCCGTCAGTTCATAGCGACGTCTCACCACAGTTGATAGCTGCCGATTTTCATTGCCTACCCTGACCATTGGTTGAACTTGTTGCTCGTTTCACTGCGGTTGTCGATTGTTGACTTGTATTTGCTTTGCCTTGTACATTTCGCTTGACCATTGCAGTTGAGGGCCGCTAACTTGCATTTGCATGGATTTGAATATTGTCGGGTCTGATTCTCTCAAGGTGGAAGTGTGCAAATTCCGATTTAGTTGCGTCACCATGTCTCGACGTGATGATCGTGATAGATCCAGGACTCGACGCAGACGTGATCGGAGTCCGTCCCCTCAAGCTCACAAAGCACGCCGACGTGAGCACAATGACAACCAGGTCTCGGAGAACATGGATTGGAACAACTTGGTTTCATGGCAACACAACTCCGGCTACAATGCTGCTAACAACTTTCCGATGGTGCCTACCAATTTTCAATCGACTCACAACCCCACACAGCAATTCCAATACCCGGCGATCAACTACATGATGCCGATCCCTCCTGATCCCACACCATCCAAGTTCATGCCACCAATGATGCCACCACCGGTCACTACTTCCCAACCTACACCTTCACCTGGACCTCCTGCAGCTCTACCGGTTCGTCCTCAGAAAGCCTGGCTTACTCCCTCGCCTGACTGGACACCTGCAGACGGCATGTTTGATGTCAATCAACTCTACAACTTCAGCCTGCCCATGACTGTTGCCAACACTCCACATGGCAACCTTCGCGACATGTCAGGCATGGATATTAGGGACGTACGCCTGGTTCAGGTTATCCACGGGGGCCTCACCAACTGGCTGCTCAGGCCGTTTGCACACGGCCGATTCGTGACGTGGGAAGGCTTTCGCACCCGCACTGAGGCCTTACTTTGGAGTACCTGCTCCAAATTACTACGAAGATCGCAGTCACTCAACCTGCTCACCCTGGAAAAGGACCTTGCCAACACGCTGGGTCTCAACATTGATGACTTCAATCAGCGCATCAAGGTCCACGACCATTTGGCCAACCTGGTACTTCAATTTCTTCAACAACATCACACCTCTCTCGCACCTGCTGCCCAGACCGATGACATGGTCAAGAAGTTCAATGATTTGAATCGTGCACATGAACTTCTCCAAGCTCAGTATTCCGCATCACTTCGCGCATCGACCTCGCCCACGATGACAAACCAGAAAGATGATGCAGAGTTGGTTACACCGCCACCGGTCAACCACACACCATCCTCGTCACCTGCCAGCTCCCTTCCCACAGCCAGCGCGGCCGCCCTGGATGGCAAGTCGTTTGATAGCGTGGTGCAACCTCGGATCATGCAGTCTCTTCACGGAGTGTCGTCACCGCCGTCCAAACCGGCGGCGTCACAGTTGCTCACCATGCACAGCACGCCGGATGAAGTTGTCAAGTACTACACATGGACCAGTGACCAACCTCGCCTTTTCCTCAAGCAAGCACCCACAACAACCACTTTGGCGTCGCTGGTTAAGTGGGCCAATCACCCGTCCCGGCTCAACGGCAACAAGTCGTTAGATTCTATGGCGACGCAGCTTCTTCAGGCCAGGCAACGCATGCCGAAGGGCGATGCGCCCACACTCGGTGCAATGGCAGCATTATGGGGTCTTGAACCCGGGTACCTTACCAAACTCACTGAGAAGGCATTGAGTCACCTCATCGTGACCGCTCGCCTGCTTTGTGGATGGGAAGGCATCATATCGACCTTCGTTCTCATGTGAGCCCGGAGCGGCAACAATGTCACGGATGAGTCCGGGTGAAAACTCGTCCGCCAAGTGTTTGCGTTGCACATGATTGATCTTGTACTTGCTTGGTCTTGCATTGCCTCTTGTGTGATTGTCTGTGATGCTTGTATTCATGTCGCCGCCTTGTGGTAGATTTCGTTGGTTGCATCTCACCATGTTGGATGAACTTCGCCGCTGCGGAATCTATGATGATGTTGCACAATGGCAGTCGCTGGACGACCTTCTGCACTCGTTGACTACATTCTCGACGTGCTGGCATTACTGTTTCCCTGGACTACCACCACCGTCGATTCCAATTGAGGAGTACGAATCCATCACACAATTGCCGTGGCTGGGTCTCATCCTCGAGGTCTTAGTTGTGGTCCGGATAGCCCTCCAGATTCCGAATTGCGCTATGTCCAACTCTCAGCACACCGTAGCCAACAGGTACGAACTTCACAGATGTCGGTGCGCTGCCTATTTATTGATCAGTTTCTTACAACGTCTCATTTCACAGGATCACGGCTACTTCCCGCCGTTCTTCGAAGTCCTTCACTTCTACAAGACTTCTCTCTTGTGTGAAATCATGCACTCAACTTTCGCTGACACGCGACATCTACGCTCATTGCGGGCGCGATTTCCTGACCTCTACGACTTCATACATGATCCAGGTCATCACCAACAACCGTGCGTCTACATTCGACTTTCCCCATGGCACACACCATACTATGTTGGGGCGACTGATCAGGATGTTCTACGTCGTGAACACTCACGCAGTCGCAAATTTCTACAACTACTTCGTGGACGGCATGCCTTCTTTGAACCGGCGCTTCACTACTGGAAACGATCCAATACTTACTGGCTCTTCTGTGCTGTACCAGTGGAAATCAAACTTCCAGTTTCCTCGGTATGGGTTCAAGAAAGCAAATGGCAATACCTGCTACGCCCGCATCTGAATGCGCCCTGGGTACACAGAATCTTGCGCAAGGTGGGCTTCCGGGAACATCTTGTAGATTTTCGACGCCACTCGTTGTCGTCGCCCACTTCCCTCGGCTTGCACAAGCGCTTTCGACGACGACTACATCCGGATCTCCAACGGCAACTACGACCTGACACCCTGGATGACATTCAAGCCCACTACTCGATCCTCTATCAGCTGGGATCCAATACAGGAGCGTCGTTCCAAGTCATGCGTGACCTACTGTCAGCCGCTTTCCCTCCCACTCAGCTGTACTACTTATTGCGGCTCGCAGTATTTGTCAACGAGCCCTTCCGCTCCAAGGCCCAGAAGCTCCTCGCCCAGGTACTGCGCAAACGACGGCTACAACCACCCACCACTTTAACACAGCTACTTTTGCCGC